TTTTTTTTTGTTTCTCTCATTTTTTTTTCTTAGTGATTGAAAACTAAATATACTATTGTCAGGATAGATCCTTGGTTCCCTCCCTCTGATTTTGCTTTTTTCCTTTTTGGTCAATAATTTTTTTCACTGTGTTCAGTTTGGATAATTTCGACTGGCCTTTCCTTGTCCTAAAGTTTCTTCCTAAACAGTGGGATTTCTCTGTTTGCTTCTTTAGAGTATTATTCAACATGTTTTCTGACCCCCATACTTGATATAAGGTTGAGATTAGATTTAGAATACGGAAGCAGCAAACTGAGGACCTCAGCTCACATCTGGGTCGCCACATGCTTTTATAAGCCTTTCTTGGGACACAGGGCGCATACAGCGGGATGGTGTGGGTGCCGCAAAGGCAGAGCCAACTGCGGCTCTCCCGCGCTGCACCAAAAATGTTGGCTGATCTTCGAGCCAGAGATTGGCTCAAATCCAGTGTTCTTAAAACATTTTTTTTAAATAATAAATTTTTTTTTTATTCAGAAGGTTTTTTATTCAGAATCTTTTTTCTTGCTCTCTAATGGAAGAATATTTCTTTATGATGTTTTATGACTTCTCTATTTTTTTAAATAATATTTCACAGAATGCTGGGTAAAAGTTTTACACAGCAAACTAGGTTCTCATTAGGCAATTTCTACAAAGTTGTTCATTGACATACTTATATTTATTATAGCATGCCCGTGTTCTCTTCCAACCTCGTACCTTTCTGGTACTCTAGGGTTCTCAGCTGGCCTCCTACCCCCACCCCCACCCCGCTCTTTTTACTCCCTCCTCTCTATTTTTGAGAAACTTCCTGTCTCATGTTGATGGTTTATTTAAGTTGGGCATTGATCTTATGGCTACCGTCCTTCAGTTAACAGGCTGCACTGTTGTTTCCATGAAAGATGATCTTGGGATAGACTTGGTCTAAGTTAGTTTTTTGTTTGTTTATTTTAGTTCTTAAGTTTTGTTCCAAAGATTTACACAGAATATTCCAGATAAGTGAGTTTCAATCCTATCTTCTTCCTCTTTTTGCCTTATTACACCTGAAAGTAATAAAATACCTAGCTTTCTTTGATGTTAGTAGCTGTGTGAAACAATTGGTTAGATTATTCTTGAGTCTTCTTAAAATGATTTTGATGAGGTGTTTTAAATCCCTTTGAGAAAACACCTTGGAGGTTATAGTAATCGAGCTTGCTTCTCTGAATGGTTACAACTCCCTTATTGAGGATCTCGGCTTTCCTGTTTCCTTTGATTCTTGAAGAAACTGCTTAAAATTGATAGTAAACATGATTCCATTTCCCACAGGGTGGGTGTGATTAAGTATAAACTTGAGAACCTGTTTCTTTTATGGGGGGCCCCATCACCCCAAGCTTTTGCACAGCTGCTGGAGTGGCGTGGAGGGAGAAGGACCTCACGGCAGTAGGCTCCGGAGCTCCTCTACTCACTACCTACCCTTCAGCTTTTTTTGAGTTCTCCATCCCTTCTCTACTATCCTGTCTTGGAGTAAATATTTGCTCCCCGTCAGACTGCTTAGAAGTGGTAGTTGGGCACCGTCCAGTCTTCTGGCCTTCTAGGGTATATAAGATGGTAGATTTTGTAGACAAGTTTGTTTTCTTTTTAAAAAATAAATGATGTTATATTGTGGGGATTGCAGTCACTTCCCTCACCCCTGTGTTTCCTGTGTCTTCCTTTTTTCCTATTCCTTTCTGAATTTTGTCTTTGGGTAAATGCTGCTCTTCTGATCTAAAGTGGTTGATTATTCTGAGACAGCAGTTCTCAACCTATGGGTTGTGACCCCTTTGGGGGTTGAACGACCCTTTCACAGGGGTCGCTCAATTCATTATAGTAACAAAATTACAGTGATGAAGTAGCAACAAAAATAATTTTATGGAATGTGCTTTGCACAATTGATGTGTGTATGGATTGTG